ACTCTCTATAGAAACACTTGTTGTTTTCTATAGAAATGCTGTTAATTTCTATAGATTCTTATAGAGAATTAAGCCACTTTTCTTTAGAAATTGTATAGAAATCCTTTAGAAATTGTATAGAAATCCTTTAGAGATTGTATAGAAATCCTTTAGAGATTGTATAGAATATTTTTATATATTTTCTATAGAATTTGTTTGGAATATTCTATAGAACTTATATAAAATTTTCTATAGATAATCTATAGAATACTATATAGAAAATCTATAGAATTTCTTTTATAGAATTCTATAGAAAATTTTTGTATGGGTGAATACGGATCTGTGGAAAGATCTTCACTAGAAAGGAGCAGTGCAGCCAGTAATGCTAGGCCTAGGTCTGAAGGTCCACCGGTCTGAACACGTTCATGTCAGGTTTGGTCATGTACAAAGTGTCCCCTCTCATATTTCAATACCCCTCCCCCATCTTCTCTATCATTAGTATTATTACTATTATCTCATCTATTTACTAGTTGTAGTGAAACATATCCTTGGTCCAGTAGTCCATCCTATTTGAAATAAGCCTTTAGGCCAAGGTCTAGGCTTATTTGCCCTCTATGGGTGGAGAGCGTGTGCAATAGAGGTCGTTCCCCAAATTGGACAGTGCTCAAAAAATCAAGTTTAGATCCCATAGCCTTTTGTAATTTTGTAGCCATAGGCTGTTGTCATTTTTTTCATTTCCTTATTTAGTTTATTCAATTCTCACTCAAAATCGTATAGCACAAAATCAGTAGATGGGACCAACAGGTGGAAGGCACCTCGTAAATGGTCCAGTCGCAAAAATCATAAAAACAGTAATAAATTGAAATACACCGTATATTCCGGTGTATAAGCCGCACACATAATTAGGACGCGAAATATCGCGATTTTTTTTGTGTCACCGCACCTATTTTGTGTATAAAAGCTGCACCTATTTTTAAGCTCAAAACCGTCCCATAATGTTTTTTTTATTTTGAATCATTTTGACATTATAAAAATGTTTACATAAAGAAATTTCAACTTTTTCGGCCAAATTAAACAACAAACAACTGGAAATGCGTGTGAACTTTAGGCTACTGCAATGAAACATATTCGTACTCAAAGGAAATCCCCATTTCTCACTAGACGGTTGTGCTGCGTTATTTTCAACATCAGTTTAGTTTAAGGTTTAATAATAAAATCTAATGAAATGAAAATACTTAGTGAGTATATTCATTTATTTCAATCAGTCATTCTGTTATTATGGTGACTAATAACATTCGGTATTGAGCTAAAAATATATTTTTTTTTCTCTTTTGGGGTATAACAACCACCACTTTTATTCATCAATACATCAAGTTATTTGAATTACAGACATTCTGCATTACAGCCTTTTTGATATTTCACCTTTTTTCTTGATTTTCTTATTTTTTAAACTTCTCTTGATTCTTATATATACAATAAAATATGCAAATTAAGTCGATCAATGTATGTTATATGAAAGTTCAAAAAATAAATTTAAGCATAATTCTATGATATTAACATGATTTCAAAGTTTAGGCATTGACCAATTGTAACCATTATTAATATAGATTTTATTTGACCAGTATATCCCTTAATTTTTTCTTCCTCCCTTTTTCATTTTTATATAAAAATGTGTTATTTTTCATCATTGTACGCCAATGCTATATAAGTTTACTCATAACACGTTGAGTTATTATGAATTTTTTTTTAATTTAATTTTTTTTTTAAATAAAATTTTAAAAAAACATACTGCACAAGGTCATTTTCATCTCATAGTTTGTATGGACTATCAGTAATTTGTTATTGCTTATTATTTTATACCTTGAAAGTAAATAATAATGGAGTAACAATAGTAATACTAATAGGTCCACTTCATAAAAAATAATAAATAAATAAATAATATAAAATAAAAATAAATATAAATAAAAAATAAATAAATAAAATAAAATTATTATTTAGTGAACATTTACAGTAAGCCTAGGTTGTTCATGTCTTTAACAATTGCTCTAAATACAATCCAAGGATTTGCACTTATTGACTTTATTAACTCAGTTAAAATTTTGATTTTGTAAATAGAATAAACCGCAATTGAATATATCTGATTTTTAAAGTAACACTCGCACCCCAATAAAAGTTCTTTAAAGGAACTTTTACTTTTGCCCATTTTTTGGAGTATGTTATCTACCTTTTTCCATAACATTTGGTTCGAGAACATTCATAAAACATATGTTTTTCATTTTCAATAGCATCACAGTTATTACATTTGTTGCTCATTTTCAGATTCCATTTACATAGGTGTACATTTGTAGGAACAACTCTATTCAGCAAATTTTCTATTTTTTTCATTTTTGACTTTACGTGTCCAAACCTCATTCCAACTAATTTCCTCATTGAATACATTTTCCCATTTATGTATACTTTGAGGTTGAATAAATTTGCTATTGATAAAGTTTGAATAAATTTGCTTTGTTTTCATCTTCAATATGTTTTTAATTATGGTACAGTCACCTTAATATGATTGTCATGTTGATGATTATGTTGTTTAATTATGTTTAACCAAACATTTGGTAAAGATTTAAAAAGTGTAGCATATTCACTAAGCCAATTCCATTTTATACATAGTTTTTCAATTATTTCCGTCGGTTTCATTAAACAATTAAAATTAACAGCGTCTTTGATTTGATTAAAACCTGACAAGATCCAATTCTTAAAAAAGAATGATGTGTTATTACATTTAATTTCCTTATTTCCCCATAGGCTTTGTCTAACAATTTCTTCATAAGTATTAACTACATTGTCGCTAATTTTAATAAATTCAATACAGCATTCAATGACATTAATGTAAAAGGACGGTATACATTTGAAGATCTCACATTGTTTTGTGTTAAAACTTGACATACCTAAAACTAATCTTTCATTACCAATTTTATTTATGTAGTACAATGGTAATAACTTCCACCTCACATGTTTTCTAGAAAGAAGTCTTCATGCCCACGCAATTTTTAAAGCCTTGATATGTAGTAAGAAATCCGACATATTTATGCCTCCAATTAAAGTTTTTCTTTTAATTTTTTCTTTTTTTCCCTTCCATAGAAAATCATATGTAAGTTTATTTACCTTTAAAATAACGTCATTGGGTACATCAATTATTGACGCATTATAAGTAAGTGGAGACATAGTAACACTCTTTAATACAGTGACTTTGCCAAAAAAAGTAAGATCTCTACCCTTCCAAGTACTAAGAAGTCTTTCTAACTTCTTCAGCTTGCAGTCCCAATTAAGTTCATTGCATTTTTTGTTATTGTATCCCACATATATTCCTAAAACCCTGACTGGTTCATTAACCCAATTTAAGTTCCCTGGTTTATCAGTTTTATTTTTATTTTTACCAATCCACATTGCATTTGTTTTTGCTTTATTAAGACACATACCCGATACTTTACAGAAATCGTTAACAATATGTATACCCAATTCTATGCTATTTTCGCATCCAACAAACAAAACTGTGTCATCCGCAAGTTGGGCGATGCAAATTTCTTCAGTGCTATCCAGAGTGGGTACAGTTATCCCCTTGTAATGAATATCATTTCTTACATTAATGGCCATAATTTCAGCAATAAGAATAAATAGTAATGCAGACAGTGGACAACCCTGTCTTATTCCACATTGCATTTTGAAGCTCTCAGATATCCAACCGTTATTGATAATAATACACTCAGTGTTATTATATATTGTATTGACCCATTTACAAAAGGATCGAGTCACCAAAATTGAATTTTTTCAGTACTCTGAACATAAAATTCCTATTCACCGAGTCAAAGGCCTTTCTAAAGTCAAGAGCTAAAATTGTACCTTCTAATTCTTCTTCTTCAGTATAAGAGCTAAAAATATTGGTAATTCTAGGCCATTACTACTCACAGTCCACTGCGCCAAGCATGCAGCATCACGTTTTATAAACAAAAACGAACTGGAGAAATATTCTGTGATACAAATTTTACGCATGTGCAGATAAAGTATGCCTTTCTACAGTTAAATTCTAGTTTAAAAAAATTATTGCAACTTCAAGAAAACTCGTGTTTTTAAAGCATACATTAATTTCACAAGTTTTTATTCTAAAATCATAACATTGCATATAGCATAGGGAATCATATTCTTTCTATTACACTTATAAGTGTCAACCAGCAACTATGTGTGTTTTTTGTTGCGACATCGACTACTCACGTAACTGCCGAAAAAATAGTTTGTTATTGTTTTGAGCGACGCTGGTACAAATAGAAACGTTGTGTTCCAAAATTGTTTATGAATGAGCGTAATTATAAAAATAATTATTTAGACAACACAAACCAGTGCTTGAATGACGTAGAAAATGTAGTGGGAATCCGAGGACAGCACTGTAGTGAGTAAAATTTAAAATACTAGGCCTAGGCTACAAACCAGTCCTACCCTAGGCTATGCCTCATTAATTTGGCTGGTCTGGGCCTAACCTAGACAACAATAATCGATGGTGCTGTTTACAGCACGTTTATGTTTGGCCAGGGCATCTGTCAAATGACCTACACGGCGACAAGATTTTTATTTTTCTGTGGATTTTATCGCCAGTTTGGCTATCAGTGTTTCTACTTTGGTAGCCATGATGGCAATGGTGATGATAAAACTATTTGCCATGATTCGTTTTTTGTCGCCATTGGCGAAATGGCTATCATATTTTTTTAGCACTGTTGAGGCCTCAATGACCTTTGTGACCTTGGGCATAAAAAAATTCATAATAAATATAAAGGCATAATTTTATTCAACCAAACACATTGTATTTCTGTAAAAAACAACATATATTCAACATAATATGTAACATTCATGACCATAGGAATATTTTTGTGAAGTTTACACAGGGTTTATGGGTAAAAAAAATACCCTTTTTAAGCCACTAAATTGCAATTTTGGGGCACATGATCTTTGACCTAGGTCAAAAGGTGAAATAATGCTGCTATATTTTGGAAGCCCAAGACATTTTACACAACAATCAAACCAACATTTGTGAAAGGTTGCAGTCATAAAAATGTATTTTGTGTTTTTCTAAACCTAAAATAAAAACCCCTTGATAGGCCTCAGTCACCTAGGGGGTTGATCTCTTGGGATTTCAAAAGTTAAATGCCTTTAACAGTAATATATATTTTTTTAATGATCAGTTGATTTTAATATTTTTTTATGTTTTAAATTGTATCTTTCTTCTTTCTAGTTTTTCCTGACAGATGGATCATCATACTGTGTTGTTTTCAGTGTGTTAGATGATTTGGACGCTTTGGCAAACCCAAGAGATTCCTTGCAGGTAAACACAGCACTTGGTCTTTAATGCAGGTTTATAGCTTTAATTAGTTTTATTACATCAATTACCGTAATCTCATACTGTTTTTAAAAATGATGTGCTTTCACATTTTTTTAGGGACAATTAGAAATGACAAATCTTCAGATGAATGTATTTTGGATGCGGTCAATATACGAACATGCTGTACTACCCTATCATGGAAGGACAGAGAAGTTAATCAACGGCATATCCTCACCCACAATCAGTTTAGTTGCCACACATAAAGACAAACTATCGGGGACTAAGTCAGAAAAGAACAAGCTGGTGAGACATCTGTCTCTTATACACATCTAGATGTGTATAAGAGACAGGTGCTATCCAGAGGTGCAGAATGTTCCATTTTGTAGTAGGAATATTTTTTGAGACACTCGTTATTTGAAATGTTTAAAATTTAAATAAAACAATATAGTTTAGCGAGGTTGACTTTTTAGCTTGTGCCATCCCCGCGCAAAAACAGGCACACGGCGTGTGTATCCTTTAATTATTATGTCCTTTGTAGGACTGGTATGTTGAAGTACAGTATCTGACACTTTGAAAGCTTTATGAAAGTCAGTCTTTTTTATCAGGGGCAGTTTCGCAACCATCAGATATGTTTTGGCGACCCGACCCATAGGTTGAGAAGCAGGGCTCTATATGACTCAAATAGAACAATAAACATTACTTTTTTATGCTTGTCAGAGTACTTGTATATAGTAATTATTTTAAAATCTCTTGTTAAGTGACTTAACAATAATAAAATCAGTTTTTCAGTGGTCAGTTTTAACAATAATGAGTTAAATATTTTGAGGTTTACAATTTTGTCTTTCTTTCCAGTTTTTCTTGACAGATGGATCATCTTACTGTGTTGTGTTTAGTGTGTTAGATGATTTGGATGCTCTAGCAAACCCAAGAGATATCTTACAAGTAAATACACCACTTAGTCTTCACTGCAGATGTTTAACCTTAATTAGTTTTATTGCATCAATTAATCTCATACCATTTTGAAAATTATGTGGCTATTGTTTACCTTTTTAGGGACAATTAGAAATGACAAATCTTCAGATGAATGTATTTTGGATGCGGTCAATATACGAACATGCTGTACTACCCTATCATGGAAGGACAGAGAAGTTAATCAACGGCATATCCTCACCCACGATCAGTTTAGTTGCCACACATAAAGACAAACTATTGGGGACTGAGTCAGAAAAGAACAAGCTGGTGAGACATTGTCTGTTTTTATTAGTAAAATTACAATATTTTATTCTTAAATTCTTCAATAAATTTACTTATATGAGGCATGTTGTGGCAAAATGGCTAAGTTGTAGCAAAAATTGAAATTCAAGTTATTGGTATTTGGTATTTTCAGATACCTGAGTATGTGATATTTAAAATGAGGGGTCGTTCATTGAAATTGAACATTTCAAGCCTAAGTTATTGGAATGTGAAAGTACATGACTCTTAGAGTCAAGATAAACATGATTTTGATTATTTGCCTTCCAAAGTTATTTGTGCATGCATGTTTTAATAAAATAAATGATTAATAAGACATTAAAGCCTGGTTCTCACGAGAGCCCAAGTATCCGGATCAGGAGCTAACCGTTAGCCCAAACCATTAGCACCTGTGTGAGAACGCATGATCGGTTAGCACTAACCGTTAGCACCTGTGTGAGAACGCCTGATCGGTTTAGCGCTAACTGTTAGCGGTATCCGGATACCGCTAACGGTTAGCAAGCGCTATTGGTTGGCACGTTGAGCGCGTTTCTATCGTCAACCAATCACAGGTACACGTCTACAATTCTCAGTTTCTTATTGGCCAGTGATTCGATCATCATCATATTTTTGGTATCCGGATCGGGATATTTTAGTGTGGACACATGGGAGCTGCCGTGTGAGAACGTAGCCTAAATTGTTAATCTATAGTGAAAAAAAAATTTGGATTTTAGGCTATTTTTTGAGCTCCCATATTTTATAGCTCATTTATTCAATATAGCCTGTGCGACAACTTAACCATTTTGCCACGACATGTCTGATATTGTCTGTTTTTTAGTAGTTACATTATTTTTTTCTTTATATCTTGAAAACATTTACTAATACTTTCAATTTTGTTCACAGATCACAACCAAGTTCAAAAGAATATTTGATGAAGTCAAAGGAACACCATATGAAAGCCATGTAGATTGTGAGATGTATGTTGTAGATAACACTGTGCGTAAGGATGAAGGAATTGAGAAATTGAAGAAGAATGTCGCGGGATACATGAAGGCAACGGCAAAACCTATTCCCACTACCTGGGTTGATTTCCAATCCAAAGTACAAGACGTTGGAAAAACAAGACTCCGTGTTTCCTTGGATGAGGTAACATATGCTTCCTTATAATATTTATAATTGAATAATATTTTGATGAATATGATTAGAATTACACGTGCAGATCCACAAGTCTAACACTACCCATCTCATAAATTTCTTCCTCTTGTATCCTAATCCCCCTCCCCCATTTGACAGAGCTTGTTGGGCAGTGAAACCATAAAAAATATAAAATAGGCTTACATCAAGTGAAAACATGTCTGTCACAGTCTTGAGAGTGCCATTTCCGGCCATTCAGAGGTTCCTATTCTTTAAAAAAAGTCTCATTTTCCAAGCTTGGGCCTACTTTATGAGCTCAAGTCTCCCTGTTGAACAGCTTAGTCCCCGCCACCCCCGAAAATTTGTCCTAGAACCGCCACTGATCTTGCGTCCTTTGGGTGTATTGTAGCATTTGTTTACCTTAATCGATGTGATTCAGCAAAAGTGATATTCCGTCATCTTATAGTAACTGAATAAAGATGAATGACAGTTTATCTTGTGTAATGAACCTTGGACTCTTTTAATAAAAACTTACCAAAACAACATAAAAATACAAGTTAGGGAAAATTAAAATTAGGGAGTTGTTATAGTCATAAAATAGAACACAATGAATTTACATCCAGCCGATTTGGAGTCACTAATAGTTTTGCCCTACATTTCTTTACCAACTACTTCACAACTTTTTAAATTAACATATAAGGCAAGAGCCAATCAGCGTTGGAATAATAACTTTGGGAAGAAATCTAATCAACATATGTAAAGCAAGAAACAATCAGCATTTGTTGGGTTAACCCATTGTATAAAAGGGTCAAATTAAGCAAGGTAGCTGACTACAATATATTTCTTGCATTTGTATGAATGGAATTCTCTTTTCATTCAACATTTTAAGGTCACGGAAATTGCATCTGAATGTGGAATTTCTAAGCCAACGCTCAACACTGTCCTCGATTATCTAAATGACACTGGAATAATTCTGTACTCTAAGACTAATGAAAAGTTAAAGTACACAGTTATTACGAACTTGCGCATGATGATCGACGTCGTGACGAAAATCATCACAGTAGTGAAACCAGATGATATTAACAAGGTAAGCAATATAACAATCTCCTATAAATATTTTTTTTTAATCATATTTATGATATTTAAAATTATTGTGAATTGCATGCATTTCACGTGTTCATATTTTCTTTTAGCTGCCTATACTGAAGCAGTGGTATAAGCTCGACCGTGAGGGAATTCTACAAGAACAGTTGCTACATCATTTGTGGCGACATGAGATAGCGCAAGATGCCAGCAACTTAGAGGTATTTTTAGAAATGCTGAAGATGTTTGGGTTACTGTTTGAGAAACAAAAGGTAAGCTGGTTCTAATTGTTTAGCAGAAGTAAACCCTTTCATAATATTACTTTTTAGTTCCAATACACGTAATGCAATAGGAACTATTGTATTCACTTTTTTTGCGTGTGTGTATGGGTGTGTGTGTGGGTGTGTGTGTGTGTGTGTGTGTGTGTGTGTGTGTGTGTGTGTGTAGACATCTTCAGGAAAGGTTTTCGGACATTTTGTTTTACTAACAGTGACATGCCTAATGGTACCCTGAGCGATTTAAGGAATGAAATTTGTATTAAAACTGTGTACGAAGGTGTGGGGATGGGAGGAGGGAAGCAGCGCCTCCCTGGATACGTCCCTGCGAAAGTTAAAAACAATCCATAGTGATAAAAGTATCACAGTTTATGTATTAAGTAGGCCTATAGGCCAACATTTTCGGAACCACAGCGTAACACAGCAAACGGCCTAAATATCTTTTCTAATTGAAATATTTCGTGTATAAAATTCCTCACACAACTTCACTATTATACTACATAAGTTTGATGCCTGCTAAGGTGGTTTTATATATTGTTGTCTTGTAGGACATGCCAGCTCCCCAACCCCCGATATCGTTTCAAACTACTGTAAAATGAAAATACTGTATACCTACATAGGCCTACAAAATTTAAAAAAAAATTTTTTTTTTTTATTCTACTATTGTAATTTGCCTATTAAAATAACATAAACAATGTGGTAAAAAATCACTGTTTTGGACCATAAAAACTCACTTCTGAATTGTCCATGTTAAACTATCACACAAATTTGACCCAACCTTATATTTTCTGATAAAGTCATGTATCATGCATAGGAACGTTGATACCTACAAGGCTTTGGTTATACAATTGTCATTATCGCTATTTTACAGGATTTATAACGGTTTGGCGCAGCGGGAACGGTTTGGTTTCCCAACCTTAAAGTCGGGGTTTTAATCCCTTCCTGTCCATTTTACTTGCGTCCTTGAGCAAGGCGCTTTATCTACGTTGTTTCTCTCCACCAAGGAGTGTAAAAAGGTGCCTAATGGGTGTTGCCTGCTCCTGTGCCAATATGGCAGCAACTCTTAAACATGCGCTACCAATTTCATACCAGCGCATTCGTATTCTTGGATGAAGAGATTAAAATGTAGATATAAAGTATCTTTCTAAGGGCACAAGCAATCTGAATGAACTCTCTCTTGAAATTGCAAAGATTTGCCGCTGTACCAACATGCCTTCTGTTAATGGTTCCTTCTGTTGCCTATAATTTTCAAATTTTTTTGAGATTCATAATATGCCACGTCAGTGCTCTTGTTTTCATAGGGATCTCAACCTGGTAACAGAATCTTCATTGTTCCTACTCGGATGCAAATCAATAAAGAGGGCTTGAAAGTTAGGGGAGACGAGCAGCAAAGTGCATCGTTTTATGTGACTCCCACGGACTTCCTACCAGATGCTGTCTACAATGTGTTGGTCGTTTCGTTTTTAGACTTGATGAATGACAAAGGTAGGAGTGGTGATCATGTGGAATTGTTTCGGAATCGGAGTGACTTTAACTTAGATGATGAGCATGTCGTGAGTCTAGGAGCTGTCAGAATCAAGAACAGACATGCATTGAAAGTAAGATGCAATGCTGAAGTTTAAACATATTTTTATTAATGTAATAGAAATGTAGAATTATGTTATAAATTATATATTATATATAAAAGTATATTTAATTATGTAACAAAATAGGCAATAACATACACAGTTAACCATATGGAGTATTTTGCCAGCTTCAGCGGTGAGGATTTGAGCCTATTATTAGCCGAACCTGAACTTGATCGATTCCTAAGCCTAGGATGGTTTTATGCTGGCCTTCGAAAGGAAGATGAGTCCTTGTAGTATTTCGGCGAGGCTCATCCTGTCGGTATTGTATAAAACATATAATGAATGTTTCTCATTCATATAATGGGTAGAATATTTCATGAGGTGAAAGATTGGATGTTCTATTCACCTCGTTGAATAGAACATCCAGTCTTTCACCTCATGAAATATTGTACCCCATTGCACTCATAAACATTCATTATTTGTATATATTATGTGCATCTATGACCTTTTCTCAGTGAACAACACATTGACTAATAAAATATCCTGTATGTTGTATATAATAGATTGAAATATCACGTAGGATGAAAGTTGGTGAACATGGCAAAGAAGAACTTCTCGAACCACATCCTAGCATCTGCATGGAGGTAAGCTTCCGTAACCAAATTCTGTTTATTCTAGTCATTTTGTAGGAGCAGTTTGGCGCAGCGGTTGTAGTTCTGCATTTCAACCTTGAGGTTGGAGGTTCATATCCCTGTTTGTGTCCTTAGGCAAGGCACTTAACCTGTGGTTATCTCTTTCCACCAAAGAGTACAAGTGAGCACCTGGTGGGTTCAAACACAAAATGCGCTTAATACAGATGAAATTTAATTAGAAATTAAAAAGATAATGAACAACTTTATTATAATTCAATATATACTTCTTTTAAATCTTATTTGTCATGCAATTAGAATTAAAGTGTACCACTTGCTAATGCTTTTGAGACAGATTCCCAATTCTTACAAAATGCTCAAAACGTCTTTGATTCAAAGTTTGCTATAAGTTTTGCACATACAGTAACTGGTTTTAAGTAAAGGGGTTTTACTAAATGGAATCAAGATTTTCTGTGGATTGCTGTTGGGGTGTACAAAAATCAACCAAATGGGGTAGGAGGTTGCTTTAATCGCTGATATGGTCAAGGGAAAAGCTATTTGGGTTAGATTCAGTGTTGTGGGACGTCCAATTGGAAAGTATTATACTATAGACTATTTTTACGGTTTTCATTTATTTTGATGATCTGAAAATAAATGTCCCCTTCCCCATTGACAGGGGACCATTTAGGGGACTTGGTTGCATTCCTAAAACACCTACAAAATTGAGATTTTATACACCTTGGTATGCAACCATAAAAAAATTTCAGGATAATTTTATCTTATTTCATTTTTATCAGGTATTAAGTTACATCCGTCACCAATTGAAAACTGTGTATGTTACTACAGAAGGAGTTGGCTATGAGTTACGTGTCCTTTGTAATGCCTGTGAACCTACGCTGGGACCGCTGCATAAACTTGAGGAATGTTTGATGAAAGATAGTGTGCCATGTGGAAAAAGAAAGTCAGTTGCAACTACTCGTTTTAAACGACTCTTTTCAACAGGTTGGTTTAAGAATGTGATTTGTATATGAAAATTGTTTTTATATTATATTATGGAGACACAATATGATTTATTTTCTATTAAATACAGATTTATGATGGCCAATTTTACCATGATAGCTTGGAGGGCCTGGTCTACTTGGCTAGTCTAGTTTTAATAGCCTGGTCTACCATTAAGGCATTGGCGAATTCTAGCACTGATATATCATCTTTAAAGCTCAAGTTTAATGTGCAATAAAAATATAAACTGCAGTATTATTTCTATTAAAAGTAATTCACTGTAGTCTTGTACTGTACAGTACAGTATTTACCACATCAAGCTTAACACATGTTCATCGTGAAAAATTAAAACATAACATGATATATTAAATTTTTAAAATACATATTAAACAATTATCCCAGGAAGCTGTGTTGAATGAAATCCACAATCTAGGTACCTGAGAAGGTAAAAACTACTGTAAAAATGAATTTGTGTAGATCACACAGGCTGAAAAACATTGGTTCCTACCCTAGCTTCATAGGCCAGTGACCTAGACAGAACAAGTTGTCTTTTATGATTTTTATTATTCAAAGTTATTGAATAATACAACATTCACAACATTCGCAATATGAAAGATGATTATGTAGTGTATAAGTATAAGGTTATTACTACATAATAGATGTATTGTAAAACATGGAATTCCAGCAAATAGAAAAAAAAATGATCCATGTTTGCATGATTGTCTACATTTTTTAGTAAGTCTAGAAGCTAGTTAGGGTTTAGTTTCTACTTTAGAATGTAGTACAATTTTTCAATTATTAAATTTTGGCGCGTGTTAAAAAAATGTAAATTTTGCACCCTGTTCGAGCACTGTCATTATTTTTAGATATTTGTTTACATTGTTTACGCTGCTACACAGCAACTTGATTTGAATTTTATCCACTAGGTTTTCCTATGCATTCTATAAGATTTTCTAGCTTAGCCACAGCTCCCGGGGGGTTTAGAACTTCAAGATATTCCATAGGTCTCTGATACTCGACAGCTAGAGGTTGGAGGTTCGAATCCCACTAGAGAGTTTCTTCAATACAACTGAAATGAAGGAACTTGTTGATGATGAGCTATGCTTGATGCAATGATTATCAGTTGGCTACTTTTAGAAGCGACTATAAACTCTGCTGTTTGAGTGCCATTGAACATATTATATGGATACTCAGCGCTATAGGCTTGCAAGTTTTGTGATTCATTGATTGATTGACTATTTACGTCGGATATTTAACACCAAAAAAATGCACACATAATAACTTTAGCATATAATAATTTATTTGTATTAACTTTTTCAGCTAAGACGGGCCATGCTGCTTCTTCCTCTGAGCATGTTGTAATTCAAGGTAATTTGAGATTTTTCATGCCACCACCATTATTGCTTCTTCACTCACCTATAAATCTGTTAGGAAAACTAGTAAACATACGCTTACATTGTTTTCAGTGGGTCTACACACTAAACATTCACACACTCATTCACACTGTATATTCTTTGTATTTTATGTATTATTAACTGTTAGCAAACACATGATTATGAATTTACAGTATTATGCTAATAATGCTCTCCTAGTCCAACCATGGAGGAAATATATTACATGCATGGTTCAACCATGGTAGTAGATAAGCTCTAATACAGTACAGTATTAGTTAGACGTAGGCCTAAAAGTATTAACTATCACTATCTGTTGATACACCATGCAGTTGGTCCAACGGCATCATGCGTACAGACTTTACTCTGTTTACATTTTGGACAAAATCGATTTGGGATTGTCAACAAAAAAAAAGGCCTATTATAATGCATTGCATATGTTGGTTGTTTTGCCGTAGGGGAACTCTCCTAAGAAAATGAGTACACTTTGTTGCAATAATTGTAATGCTTGTTATCCATACATAATTCTACATCTACAAAATTATATAATAATTATGGTAAAACTTGAAGATATTGATGTGTTGAATTTTTATTTGGTCCAAAGGAATGACAGATGCGCAATTCAATGCACTTAAAATGGATGTCGCAGTGTGGTATGACAACCACAAATGTCTTACTGTGTTGAAAGTGTTGTTCAGAGATCATGTGGCCAATGAGAGACTATCAAAAATAGATAAGACAGTGGACTTGCTGAATGATTTAGTTAAACATGGTCATTTGAATTCCAAGAATCTTACAATTCTGCATGATACCATCAGCATAACTGAACATTTTGGTCTTCAACATAAGATTAAAGTATTACTACCGTCATTCCCGGATGTTAAGGAAGGAAACATTTCCAAACAATTCAGTCATCACAGACAAAAACTAATGAAGTTTGGAATGAACCTGACTCCGGACAATGTAACAAAAATTGATGGATTGCTGAACATGCCCTGTAAGGAGTATACCGATGGCTGGAGTATGATCACTGATCTAGAAGACAGACAGATAATCAGCGAAAAGAATATGAAAGAATTCACTGATTCATTAAGAAGCCTTGAAATCCATCCAGCATTGAATGCACTACAAGATGGTAATCCTCATTTTTTTTTAAAAGAAAACAATTTGTCATGTGGGCCATTTCGTTTTATTTGTTTAGGCCTACATTCTTTACATTTCATTTTCATCATTTTTTTTTCAATTCCACCATAACTTTTTTTCATTTCCTTCTTTCCATTTGCTTAACATTTTCCTTTTCATCTTTTCTTTTCCCTTTATTTCATCATTTTGTCATTTTCATGTGACATACTTAACAGAGTAAACTTAAATATAGGTACAATTAAAATTTGTGAATTCCTTTCCCTTCATTCCATAATATATAATATATAGATTTTATATTTAATAATAATATCAACAACAATGATCACATGTAACATTTATAAGGTGCTCTGTATTGTTCTCTTACAGAGCTTGAAGGTATTGAAACAAGCAAGATTAAGGAGTAACTTGACCCGACATGGGATTGCATGACAGAGCTTGAATCACCACTACATCCTAGATGTTTCCATGAATATGTTGACAACATGGCAGGAAAAAAAATTACAGTACTTGACTGAAATTGCTGTAATGTGTGAAAAGGTGGAAAAGGTCCAGTGGCATTGCAAAGTCATTTGAAAAAATCCAGATAGACTGCCTAACTTTGTGCACGTCCACGACTACAGGAACACAAAGCTGGTGCATTCCTTCGACAATAGAATGTCAACTGAAGAATTTTAAATAGAATGGAAGAAAATGAGATCAATGTTGCATGCTGCTGGTGCTTCTTTAACTGGACTTTGATAAATATAAGGC